AGCTGGAACTCTGGTATTCTCTGTATTACTTGAAGGAAGCTCCACAGGTAAGAAAGTCTCCTCATGTCAACTTATATGATCTTGGAGAGAGAAGGGATTTATGAATCTTCTAAGTTTCAGGGGTTTCCTGAGAGTTGGCAGTTGTGGTGTTCCTCCACTCAAATGGAATGTTTCAATTTGGAACTTCCTTAGTCTTAAGGAGAGTTCTTCTAGGATGGGAAGTTTCAGTTCAGAGGAAATTGCTGTGCAACATGACCCCCTCCTTCCCCTGTGACATGGATAAATGTCCACCTCCCAGACTGTCTTCAGACTCTCGGGGAAACAAAGCCAAGGCTTGAAAATTAGAGAAATACAGGGAAGGGAGGCCACAACAGAAGTTCAGGGACAGTTGCTGAATGGAAAAGATAGAGCATCTTGATGTCAGGGATGGATAGAGGGAGAGAGAAGTTTCAGATCATTATCTCTGCAGACAAGATTGGATCACTCATTCAACTCCCTACTGCTTCGCCTCGTTTCATCTTCACGGAAGCATAGGAAGCTGTGAAGACTGCTTATTGCTGTTCTACCTTCCACCTACTTCACAGAGATTAGAAATCGATGTTCTGAGTGATGTAATCACTTCACTGAAAGCAAATAATCAGGAGCTCAACCGCAGGCTCCTCAGGACCCCAAGCCTGTGGTCTATCCTTTGAGAGAGCCAGAGAGCACTTTCCAAGAGTAAGATCCTCGAAGGAATTAAAGATATAAGACATGCTCTGTTCTTTCACAGACTTTTCTGGCAGTATAGAAAATAATTGCTCAACCTTTTTGCAGTAGATGGCAATTACCACAAAGACCCACATAGGATCAAGGTGTAGAGAATAAGATGTTGCCATATGTTCAACAGTATCTATATCACACCTCCCACTCCACCCAAACCTCCAATCTTAGGCGAAGATGGGGCAGAAAGATTGGAAAAGCCATAGTTGATGAATGACTGCAAGGAAGCAATGCTTTCTGGACACAGCAGAGAAGTTACACACATGAATTCAAGGCAGTTGAGACAACATACACAAGACCAGCATGGGTTTAGGCCAGACAAAAGTCCAAAATGGAAAGGAGAGGTTGACACTAAGTTCCAGCCTTAGCTAAGGATCTATCAGCAGCTGATAGTGGCTGGAAGAGAGAGAGTCAGTTTGCTTTGAGGGTACAGCCCCTGCTGGGTAAATCACCCTCCAATGAAGGCCACCCATCCAAGAGGACATGAACAAAATAAACTGTCCTAGATTTTTTGTATTATGCCACTGAGGTCAGGGTTTTAGGGTTTATAGTCTCATCTCACTTAATGTTAATGTTCTCTTTCCTGTGTGTAAAGATGTGATCTCTCAGTCGACTGCTCCTATCACCTGCTGCTATGCCTCCCCTGTCATGATGGACTCTTCTTCTGGAACCATAAGCCAAAATAAACTCTTATACAAGTTGCTTTTGGTCATGATATTCTGACACAGCAACAAAAAAAGTAACTAATACCTCTCTTTTACAGATGAGGAAATTGGTCCCTGGAGCACTCACACTGGTACACAGTGACTATACAGTGGAGCCAGGCCTGAGATCTGGACAGATGCCTGGGCCTCCTAATTCAGATCAGTACCACTATTCTCTGCTGCCAGTTATCATTTTACACATAGAGAAATGTGTCAGCATACCTATCAAGACCTACCATTTGCCTCTGATTTGTCTTACATGTGTTCTCTCACAACCCCTGTGACATGAACAAGTAGACGTAGCCCTGAGCAGTTTGATAGCTTATGAAAAGGTATGATAAACACTGTCTGCTGGGTCCCAACCCCAGCCCCTGGATGCCTTGCTACAAATATGCCTTAAAGTTCCTATATGACTCATTCAGGGCTTTGAGCTTCTTACTACATTTTCAGTATGTCAAGTTTCCTCATTTCTCTCTGATTTTACAACTTGTAACATGAAAAATAAAAGACCAAGAGATAGATATTGGGGTTCAAAGTTCGAGCTGAAGATCAGAGAAGCAGAGTCAATCACTAGTTCTTCTCTCTACCTCAGACTGAAAGCTCCATGAATCCTCAGACTGTAATCCTAGGTTGCTGCCTCTCTTCAATGTGACTGGAGGCCCTTCGCTTTTTTCCTTTTACACCTCCCTAGTATTTGGACTAAAGGTGTGCGATCCCAAGTACTGAGATCACCTTTGTGTAAGCTGTTTCTCTTTAGAACTGGATCAATTTCATGTAGCTCAGTGTGACCTTGAACTAACAGAGATCCACCTGCTTGTCTCTTGAGTCCTGGCTCTATAGCTTGTGCCTAGCTTTGCTTTCTGTACCCTCAGGCAAACTTTAATAAATCATAAATAATATATCGCCACGATAATTGTCTATCTCTCACTAGGTATCAGTTGTGCCTTCATTAATGGCTTTTTGAACCCATAGAAAGCCTTCACAATTTGGGTCCAATGCCTCCCTTTCTTAGCAGCCTGTTAGTGCTTACCACATTAAATTAGCTGAATATGCTTATCTGACCCTTCTCCAGAAACCCATTACCTTCTCTGGGTCAGGACTGTGAAGTATGAACATGCCCTGAGAAACAAAGCTGAGTTGAACTAGTGATGGAAGACGAAGAACAAAAAGAAATAGAAGAAGAAAGACATGATTAATAGCCAAGTTGTGTCTACTGTGCTTTCACAATCCATGTAACATTTAACCAATGTGTAACAAGAAACAAGTGTCTTTATGGGGGAGGAGATATTAGTGAACATAAAAAAAATGGTTGTGCATGTAAATGTTTGTATAAAAGAGAGGGAGAAAAGAAAAAGGGAAGAAAGAGTAGAGTATATATGTAGATAGAGCATATGTTTAGATATGGTTTGTGTGTGTATATATATACATATATAGTGTATATAAGTATATATAGTATCTATATATAGCTTTACTTATACATGCATGCATACATATTCATATGGCATATAATAGATTTATAATATATACAATGTGTTCATTTATAGCAGATGTATACATACATAATATACAAATGCATGCATTTATACATATGTAATCATGTGTAGACATCTGTATAATTTGTGTGTATAGTGCATGTATGCATAGTGATATACAGTACTATATATTTGTATATATACACATATAAATAGTATGTATGTATGCATGTGTATATGTTATAATGTCATTAGTTGAATTTCAAGGTCATCAGGAGGTGGGAGGAAGACACTTGTTGCATGCAATACAGACTTAAGAAACAACAACAAGTGCCTGTAGCTTGCTTTCTTTCTGTGATTGAAAAGGATCCGCTAAAAGGAAGCATCCAGAAAATTAGGAAGTAAATGCTTTAGAGAAACTTCACTAATGTCAAGCAAGAATCTTTTTCTGGATGAAGGTTAAGAAAACACACACACACATATACTCACAGCATAATAAACAAAAACCAACTAAGGAGATAGAAAACCATCTCATTGGATTTCCTTATTAAGAATATCCCAATGCTGATTTCATCCCTACATGGAAAAAGATACTAACCCTATTTGGGATCAATTCTTTATCTACAATGTGAGATCCTGGTGATGAGAAGACTTCAAACAGCAAGTGAAATAAAGTGTAAAAAAAAACCCATACAAATACGATCTGATTGCCTTTGTCATGTGGCCTTTCATCTAACTGAAAAAATCCTTCATCTCCCTCCATGGGCGTTAGCTGAAGAAGAGGACTTGGAGAAAGTGTTTCCCAACACTTTCCATGTGTACAATTGCCTCATCACACTTCCCTTACAGGGCAAGATGACACGATACATTGTTACAGACTCTGACAGTGACCAGAGACAATTGTTATTATGCCACATGTGTGGCTTTGGGATGGCTGGAGCCTTCACAGTAACTACCAGCTGTGTCAAGTATTCTACATCTGCCTGATTATCATTTCCCATTGATGAAGCATATCTATTACAGTCCCTTCCCCAGGATTTCTTTTCCTCTTTCTGGGAAGTTCACTTTTTATAAATAAGTGAGATCTTTATGTCCCAGCCTTGTATGAGATCTTTATGCCCCAGCCTGAAGATAAAGGAGGCAGTAACTTGAGTTCAGAAGCCAAGAAAACACATCTAAGTGAATATGAGAAAATCAGCCAGGTACCTCAGCTGCACACTGAGAAGACCTAAAGATATTTCCCAGGAATCTCCTTTGGCAGAGGCAGACAATGGAGACCAGATATTTAGATGACTCTTTAAACCCTTAAATGAAAACATTTAGGCTCATACATGATGAGCCCACAACTAGGTGCAGAGTTACAGACTTCTGAGATCTGCCACTTTAACTTGAGCTCATGTAAACTGTGTCCTCAATTTAACATTAAAGTAAAAGTGGCAGATAGGTGGGATGGCTGATGGTGACATCAGTATGGCCAGTGATAGGATATTGACTTTCACATGCAATCTGCATACCATCTCCTTCTATGGATGAAGAAGCATGGGGTCTTACTCTTTGTTAAGGAAGGACTGTATACTTTCCGTGTATGTCTTCATTAAGAAAATATACAAAATTTCCAGGGAGCAGTGTTATAAGGGTCAGCTGTACTAGCTAAGAATGGGCACTGCCCAAAAATGGAGATTAATTGATCAGCTTCTCTAATGCACAAACTTGACCTATCAGGTTCGATGATAACAAGGCATCGATTATTCTGCTGCTCTGATTCTAACTTGCCCACACATACCAGCTCACAATACAATGTCTGTACATATAAATATAATACACAGAATAAATCTATCATGTGCTTCTTATGAAAAACAAAACAAAAGCGGCTAAAAAGCATTCTGAATCAAAGCAGCCAGACACCACCTTCCTTCTTCCCTGAATTGCCCACACACACACAAACACCTACCACCGGATTCCTCTTTCCATGACAGGGCTGACGATGCTTCAAAGAACACTGAGCATCCCAGACCCCTGTCTTCCTTTTTAGATTTCATCCATCAGATGCAACAGGAACCAGTGCTTGGTTTGCTCATGTTCTTTTTATTTTTAAAGTACAAATAAAATTATTTCAATATAAATAAATCCTTTCATTCAAAAATAGAAAAAATACCATAACCTTGGTCACTGCCCAGCAGGAACAAGTAGGATTAATTAAAGAGTCAGAAATCAGGCCTTATCCCAGTTTCAGTGTGATTTCAGACGTAGGGAAGTCTTGGTTCTACAGACAAATCATTCTAGAGATCATAATGATTCAAATACACCATGCCGAGTGTCTAACTTATGTCCCGAAGTCAATGACATTGGAGTGAGTTGAATTTTGACACCAAGACTACACTTAAATTGATACACAAACATATAAATTACTTTGTCAGATTGCAGAAACACATCAGGTTGTATAATGTTCGTCGGCTAATAAATTACTTGCTTCTGAGAAAAATAACTCAAGTCTGTTTCTTTTCCTGGGTCAAATGTAAAGTGCACGGCTCTGGGGAGCCCGAGGAACGCAGGGTGCCCAGCATTTTGTCCCAGTGTGTGAAGTATGGAGCAAAGTTGCAGTTAAACTGCGAGTGATGCAGGTCGTGATGAGCCACACCCCCATACCAGCCAAAGGGCACAAGTCTGTGAGTGGACCACGGGAAGTCGTAGCCTGAGTGGTCCTCCACCGACAGCCAGATGTTAACCACGTGAAAGGTAAGGATGGTGAGTGGGTGGCACTGCAGCATCGCGACATTCAGCACGTCGAAGAAGGTCAGCGAAAACAGCTCCCAGACGCTCATGTACTGCGTGGCCAGCGCGAAGGAGGACGCGTTCTGGTGATGCACCTTGTGGAAGGTGCGGTACAGCCAGGGCACCTTATGGTGCACGAGATGCCACGCGAAGATCTCGGTGTCGAAGAGCAGCAGGCAGATCAGGACGTGGCTCAGGAGATGCAAGAGCTCCGGGGCCTCCCGCGGCAGGAGCGCGGGGCTGCGAGCCCAGTGTAGCAGCGTCACGGGGAACACGAACACCAGGTGTTGGTAGAGCGTCTGCCCCAGGCAGGGCAGCAGCTGCCTCGCGGATGGCGAGAAGTCGGGGTGGATCTTGTAGCGTCGTAGCATGGGCACCCAGGGACACAGGACATCCAGTACCACGAATGGCAGGCAGAAACCCACGTAAGTGATGATGGAAAAGACGACCGGGAAAAAGGGTGAGCGCGCGAACCCCTCTCCGCTCCTTAGGGTGTCCCAGAGTGGCTGAAGGAGCAGCTGGCTGGAGCAGCCCAGGTCTTGGAGCTCCGAGCGGTTGTGGTAGCCCATGCTGAGACTGAGCCCCACAGTTGCAGTCTCCCCAGTCCTGCCGACTTTTCTTAGGACTGCGGCCCCGCCCCCAATGATGTCAGCTGTCCTTCCCTCCCTTCCTCGCTACAGAATCGTGCTTAAAAAACCCAAAGTTGTTCCTTAGGTTAGATGGTTCTGTCCTGTTCTCGGCTGCATCAAATTGCCTCATCCACATACATGCATACAGCTGCACTTGGAGCCGGTCCCCAGGAGCACGGAACTGTTTGTTCACTTTTCAGCTGACTTACTATTGACAGAGGAGTGAGCAATTCGGGTTTAGGATAATTCACCAGCCATCACCATCAGAAAGTGCTGTTTCGCAACCAAAGCAGAATTCAGAGTTTTAAACTCTCCCTTGTGACTGTGTCAAGGCGTATGTCTATATTCTTGGAGCTCTTTGGGTGTGAGCACCTCACTCCTACAGTGCACTTAGTGGATGCACGGCAAACAGCAATAGACTCCTTTACAAAGAGGGAACCCGCAGTGTCTCCCCGCCCTCGCCCCGCCCCGCCCCCGCCCCCGCCCCTGCGCGCTCTAAGGCTCCAAAAAAGGAACAGCCAGGCTCCTGTTAGCGCAGACAACCCTCCCTTCCCCCCTCCCCTTGAAAACAGGGTGCCTTGAACAGGGACCAGAACCTGCAAGAAGTCCTGAGAGGAGGCAGCCATTAGCCTTCGCTCTGGGATGGAGAATAAAGGATGCTGTCTTTAAAACCCAACGAGGATCCCTCATTTGAGCCAATGCACCTCCAAGCTGGGTGGAAGCGGTGATCTATGCAATCCTACAGCCTCCCAGGAAATAAATTCAGGAAATGTCTCATCTCCCCCGCCATTTCTTTGGTGGTCCCTTAGGCTCCGACTTTTGCCCAGCCCTCAATTTTTCCCTACTCCTCAACTCCTTATCACCCTCTCAGATGCTGGAGCTATGGGGCCAGAGACAGAGCACTGGAGGACAGTACTGTGTCCTGGAAGAGCCCTCAGAGAGTCCAGCACAGAAACCTGCCTCTGCATTTCCCCTAGGTGGCTAAAACGTGGCACAGGAGACCCCAGAGGAAAACCAGGGGCCATTTTACTAATTTTTCCTTCTTATGTTTGTGTCCTTAAGCCAGCCCTTCTCTTCTGGAAGCAGACATAGTCTTGCGCAAGCTTGCTTTTTCCTGTGTTATTTTCCAAGGGAAAACAGCCATAAAAGGCCCTAGGAGCCTGCTGTAAACTCTGAAGGACAAGTGGATTTCAGTCTCCGCCTACTCCCTGCCAGGCACCAGCTAAGAGACTTGTCATCTCACATCCCTCCAGAGCTGGCTCCCACCTCTACCAGGAAGGATGCAATGTTCCCTTTACTGTGGCTTCACAGCCCTCGATCTAATGGCTTAACATACACAACAAGAGGAAATAAGCTACACATCATTTTAACTTTGTACTTCACAGGTAACAACTAGAACATTTGACATGTAAGATTCCTTTCAAAAAGAAAAGATAAAAGGATATATTATAAGGAACAAACACGTAGTGTAAAAATACAAAACAATAAATAGGCCTAACATATACCCAGAAAATGTGTGTTATTATAAACAGGTTCATTTTATACATACATATATGTGTGTGCATGTGTACATACACAATAGGCAAGTTCATAATTCAGACTTCCCATTTGCTATATGTCCCAGAGTTATCATTGGTGAAGGAATATGCCCATTTTTCATTCATTCTTTAGGGTCATTAAACTTAAGCTTTCAGCCTTACAGAAGCCTCAAAAAAAGTAAACATAATATAATTTTATAAAACCTATTACAACCAATATGGAAATTTCATGGGGGATGTCCTTCTGTATATTTATTTCTCCTATTGGTTGATGAATAAAATACTGTTTGGCCAATAGAGGCAGGAAGATAGGCAAGACTAGGAGACAAGGAGAATTCTGGAAAAGGTATACAGAGAGGGCACACAGAGGATGCCATGTAGTCACCAAAGGAACAGCAGGTCCAGGCATTCTCCAGTAAACCAAGACAATGTGGAAATACTTAGATTAATAGAAATGGGTTAATAATTAAGAGAGACCTAGCCAATAAGAAGCCCTAACCATCAGCCAACAATCTTATAATTAGTATAGCATCTGTGTTTATTTGGGGCTAAAAGGCAGCAGGACCTGGTGGGACAGAAAACTCAAGCAACAGAAATCAGTGTGGAGTTGTCTCAAGACAAAACAAAACTACCATACAACCCATATACTCCTGGCCATATACCATCCATTTCCTGTTGATGTAAAAGAAACACAAACTGGTAGAATTGGTATGTTAAAGGACTTACTAATAGTCTTCTTATAAAACATTGAGTCACACAAGTAGAATTTAGCTAAAGGAGTGCTGCCTTCAAAATAACCCCAAAGATAAGTAGTAAGCTAAGCAGACCTGCAAGAGATAAGGGAAGTTTAGGATGCTAGAATATAAATATTCACTCACCAGGACTGACCAGCCATTAGGCTCTGGTTCCCATGACAAAGCAGACAGCTGGCTGACTTATGACCAGTCGTCAAGCCCCGGTTCCCTTACCAAAGACATACCTCTAAAGGACAGCTCACAGTGGCCAGTGCAAGGACACAACCACCAGTAAGTTCTGGTCTCCTATTACATCCCCTGTGCTTTCGTCAGGGAAAACATAACTCTGCCTGGTGGGTGAGATAACCCTCAGTAACAACTGCTTGAAAAAGTACAATACTGTCGTACTTAAAATAATTCTGACAATATGTAATATTTTTTGCTGTGTAAAACTCCTATCAGCCTAAGAAGCTGAACCTGCAGGCTCCTCCTATCCTTGTTTAAGTTGTTTGAAGTATAACCTGGGGCCAGACTTGAAAGAGAGTTTTATGACAGTGTGTATAAAATGCATATGCCTAAGCATATATAAACTAGCAAAATCTTCTGTTAGAGTCTGGCTCTTCCTTCATTTCCAAATATATGGAGTGATTTCTCACTAGTAAAGTGTTTTATTTCCTTAACACTACCACAGAAATACCTGTCTATCTCTGTGCATTGCTGCTCTAGTCACAATAGCAAAGACATGGAACCAGCCGGTCTGTCCATCAACAGATAAATGAATAATGAAAGTGTGGTACATATGCACAATGGAATTGGATTTGGCTGTAAAGAAAAATTAAGTTCTGGAATTTGCAAGAGTATGGATGGATGGACCTAAACAGTATAATATTAAACAAGGTGACACAAATACAGAAGATAGCAACTACATGTTTTCCCTCATTTATGGGTCCTAATTTGTAATGTGTATGGGAGTAAATGAAGGTAAAGCCTAAAAACCTAGGAAGGATACCAAAAGAGGGTAAAAGAGGTGCTAAGGAGTGTGTGGAAGGCAAAAGGACATATGTGATATGAAAACAGGAAAAGAAGACCAGGAGAAGCTACAAGGAGATTTGGGGAGGTAAAGAAATGGGGAGATGAGAAAGAATCTACTAAAATACACTTTGTTAGAAAACACCACAGTGATAGCTACTGCCTCGTATGCCAATGTTTTAAAGAAAAATCTATAAACTCACCAAAGTCCTCAAAAAATAAGAGAGAAAGAGAAAGAAAGAGAGAGGAAAGAAGGAAGGAAGGAAGGAAGGAAGGAAGGAAGGAAGGAAGGAAGGAAGGAGGGAAGGAAGGAAGGAAGGAAGGAAGGAAGGAAGGAAGGAAGGAAGGAAGGAAAGGAAAAGGAAAAAGCAAATGTTACTACGCCCTACTGGTATATCTGCCATTGATGAGATGGGGGTAAGAAGTAGCTTTGAGCTTCTTGACAGGCAAGGCACAAAAAGAAAGAGGACAGTGTGTGTGTGTGTGTGTGTGTGTGTGTGTGTGTGTGTGTGTGTGTGTGTGTGTTTTCCCAAGCCTTAAAATGGAAAGCAGTAGCAAAAGGAGGGGGCAGGAGGATGCAGGGCTCTAGCCTCCCTATTGGTGGGTTTCTTCCAGGTAGACAGTAATAGACTCCTTAACTCTCACGTACCCATGCTGTTCCCATCTTCACTTTTAGGGTACCTTAGGAAGGCTCTTCTTTCTTGTCCCTGAGAAATGTGATCTTTTCCTTGAAACACCTTCCAGGAAAGAGAGGAAGGTTTGCAGGTTTTGGAAGGAAAAAGCATAAAACTCCTCCCTCACTTTTGACCACTCATAGTTCCAGAGGGACCATCAGAACTCGCTATCTCAGAGTTACAAATGCGTTATGTCCAGAAAACTTATCCAGGTTCCCTCAGACACACACTGTTCTTTGCTTCTACTCTCACTTTCATGCTTGGATGTGTTGGGTCTGCATGTACACCATAAAAGGTGGGTGGTATTGCTTGATTTGCATTTAACTATTATCTGTGCTGTCAAGACTTAGTACTTCCAAACCAACTCATGTTCATTCCATTTTGGTGGTTCTGTAGTCTATCATTATTTTCTCCACATGCATCAAACCCTGTAAAGCAAAACCTGGGAGCCAGACCTACAGAATGCCCTGTCCCCTTGGCCCTGCACCTCAAGTCATGCTGAAGAACAGCTGTCCTTCTTCAGTCCCTGCACACAAAGCTCACAAGACAGATATTTGTGTCCAACATAGAGATGCAACCATCTCAAGGAGTCTCTTGGTTAAAGTAGGCATAATATAACAGATGACTAAGCAGAACTTAATGAACAAGAACAAAGTTGAGTCCTGTGTGGCATTTGCTAAGTGGAGAGTTTTCTTCAGTTTGCCAAAAGTATTCCTTGTGTCTTTTCTGCAGTCTCAAAAATGCAATGGTTTCTAAGTGAGTAGACCCTTTTAGAGTAAAGATCCTAGGAGTTATTCTCACAATCAATAAGTAAGTACTCCAGTCCCATTGCCTGCTCTTTCTAGCTTGCTCTCTCCTCCTCCTCCTCCTCCTCCTCCTCCTCCTCCTCCTCCTCCTCCTCCTCCTCCTCCTCCTCCTTCCATCCCCCTTACCTCCATGTGAACTCGAGAGGAACCTGGAGCCCAAGGCATACCAAGTACTCGCTTTGTCACTGACATCCAACTCTCTCCCATCCTAAGCAGAGTATCCCGTACATAAAAAAAAATGCTCAAAAGATGCTGCATGTTCATTTTAGAAGATATCAACTCAAATTTGAAGATTACAATAGGTTTCTGTATTTCTGTGTGTAACGTTTAGTCTTCCTGCCTGCTGCCTAGGTCCTGTTGCTGCTTTCAACCCCCAAATAACACACAAGACACTATATTAATCATGAAGCTGTTGGCCGTTTGCTATAGTTTCTAATCGGCTCTGACTTAATCATTACCCATAATCTCATATATATATATATATATATATATATATATATATATATATATGGACTTATCTTAAGGAGAACGCCAGACTTGTGTTATCTCCTCCAGGGGTCACATCTGAAGATTCTCCTCACTACATTTCCCAGAATCCTCCTAGACTCCTAGTCCGATCTGTTTTGCTTCCCTACTGGCAAACAGTGCTTTATTCAAACTAATCAGACATATATTTACAGAATGACATCTCCCAACATCTATGCTTATTGATTTTTACAGATTTATTATGGAACAACCAGTAGATGTGGTTTGGGTCTGATATTCTGGTACATTTGCCCACATGAGTGGATGTTTTGTGATATCACAACTTGGCCACACTATGTCTTGTACTTTTCCATTTGATTTAGACTTCCTCTTTATCATTTTCATCCTGGCCAGAGTCCTCTGACAGCCTTCAAGGACAAGAATCCTTCCTCCTCCAGTTATTCTCAGAGCCTGAACATTGTAAACTTAGTCTCAACTATTATTTGGTACTAACTCACCAAAAGCCTGGGCTAGTCCAGCCAAGAGAGCATGTAGCTAACAAAGTCTAATGATGTCTTCTTTTTAAAAATGAGCTTGGTGGTTTCTTTTCATTCCAAGTGAGATAATGTGTACAGCTATCTGCCTAGTCAAAGACTAAGGCAAGACCCAAAGAGGTGTAATGGCCTCAACGATCAAAACATGTCCTCACATTTCGAAGATGGAGAATTAAAAATTCAGTCTCAGATGTGTCAGAAACAGGTAGATTACAGCTAAGAGTAGTTACAGCTGAATCCAGAGTCAGCCAATCCTTAGCCAGGGTTTCTCTCAAGAGTAACATTGAAACTGCTTTTATGAAGTAATTCTCAAAAGACTCAGGGACCATTAATTAACCTTGATAAACAATAGACAATGGTAAGAGATGCTAATGTTAGCTCTTCCTGTACCCACCCCAGAGTTCCCTTGATGCCCCTGCCAGCCCAGGCTGATTCATATGGTTTCAGTTTATCATGTGGTGTATAAGTCAGTGCTGTCCATTCTGTTGGAACTGCCATCAGCCTCTCTGAAGCAGTCAGACATATACAGTTGTTCCTAATCAAAAGGCATACCATGCCTGTAAAGAGAGACAATATCACCAGCCCTGCACTCCTCCCCCATCAAATAAGTTGCCAACATGGTCAAAGCTTTAGGAAAAGGCTTCAAAACTGCAGAACACATAGCTTAAACCATGCCGAGTATATTTTTTGTAGTGTAATAGACAGAAAAGGTTTCATTTGGCTAGTTTGGAATTAGACTTGAAATCTAAACCTAACACAATACAACAAATACTGTGCCTGACTGACTATTTTTCATCAGAATAGTTACTCCCTTTAGCTGCTGTTCATGCATCACAGGCTTCTAGTCTTAAAATCTATTAATTATAATTATATAAAATGTATTCAAGAATAAATGATAGGGGCTGGAGAGATGGCTCAGTGTTTAAGGGCACTGGGTGCTCTTGAAGATGTCTGTACTCACATGACCACTTACAACTGCCTCCAACTCTGGTTTCAGGGTATCTGATGCCCTCTTCTGGCCTCCTTGGGCACTAAATACATGTGATGCACTTACAAATGTGCAAGCAAGACACTCAGATACAAAATAAAAACAAATATTTTTATAACAAGAAAATCCAATTACTGTCTATTTTAAATGTCTTCATTTACCTAATCAACATCTTTAGTGGTCACAAGCACAAAATAATCTTCATTATTTGACAATGAAAACAATAAATGTTGATACTTCTTAATAGTGTGAGGCCTCAATTAAAGCCTTTTCTACTACCTATCCACCCAATTCCCATGCCCTATTTTTATTTACAAGTTATATCTGGGGGAAATAGCTCTTCTTTGAGAACATTTCAGATGTTATTCATTATACAAAAATTAGTCACCCTGGCTAGAACTTAGGACAGTCACAGCCACAGCCCCACCCATTATCAAATTGCCAACTAAAAAACTTCACAAGGATCCTAACATCCACAGACAGCTTTCCTAAAAGCTGGTGTGGGAGCTGGATTTGGTGATGCAATATTTTAGTTCCAGCATTCAGAAGGGGAGGCAGGAGGACTGCAAGTTCCAGGCCAGCCTGAGTATAGTGAGAGTATCAAAACAAAAAACAAAACCAGGAAGTGGGACGGAGGGAGGCTGGAAAGATTTACAAATAAAGTCAGGAGCGCCCTCCCGTGGGGATGAAAATTATGATTTTTTTCATTCCCTTCCATTCTCTATTTATTCATTTCCCCACAATACTACATCTTAAAGAAGGATCACAAATAGACAAAGTAATAATCCAGATGATCTCAGCCAAGAGGCTATGGGATAGTAACCCCAAGAAGCCCTTTTCTCCTCCACAGGCTGCAAGCTTGTGCAGATCTTTATATTATGTTCAACAGAAGACTTGGTAAAGCCAGTTGAAAAGAAAGACCCCAGGGAGTCCTCACCAAACTGTCAGTGTTCCTGGAGGCAGCAGTCTCAATTCACAGATACCAAGACAAACTAAGTTAGCATGACCACAAAGGAGGCTGGAAATACAGCTCGCAGTGGAATGCTTGCCTAGAACACATGACCACAAGGGAGGGTGGGAACACAGCTCAGTAGTGGAGTCCTTGCCTGGAACACCCAAAGCTGATCTCTAGCCCTGAGTGGGGTGACGAGGGAGGCAGGGAGTGGTGGCAACAAAAGCGTATGCATCCAGGCCAAGAGACCACAAATGGAAGCAAACAGGCAGAGCAAGGCGCCAACGTGACACGTGCAGCTGAGTGGTACCTGCACTTTTAGACTCAACCACCCTCTAAAGTTCTCAGGGCAAAGTCTGAAAAGACGGAGACCAGACAGGTAGAAAGTACGGCCTGAGCACCACTGCTCATCCTGCCATCTGGAGGAACTGGACTAACTCACACACTCTCAAGGACCCTGGGAAGCCCTTTAATAGCAGCTGCAGCTGGAAACCCCGAGTCACTTATGGCCCTCCCTAGAATGCTCTCCACTCTTGGGGAAATGACAGCCAGCAATTCCAACTCCCCGCCTCTTTCTTTCAGCTCTATATCTCATTGACAAAGCTCTTTTGCCTTGGTCAATGGAGAAGGAAGGGCTCCTTGGGGGACCTGTGGCCAGGGAAGAGGGTGACTCTACAGGAGGCACACCCTCTGCCTTGACCAATTTAGTCCTTTCAGAGGCTGCAAGAAAAAAATCACAATGACGGTCTTTGGAGCTACCTGGGTGTCACCTGTTCTAACTTCATTTGTCTAAATCAAAGCATGTGCCCATCTTGTTAGTCCCCATATGGTCACTACAACGAAGACTCAGTTGTGAGTACCCAAAGATGAATGGCTGGTGTAGCCTCTGTACTTAAGTGCATGGTAGTTTGAGCCCTCTGATCTGCTTTATTGTTTTGTCTTGTTTGGGGGAGGGCACTAAGGCATGGCACTAAGGCATGGACTGTCTCTGTCAGCTGTTTATTTGCCTCAGGAAGGAAGTGACAGATACTAACTAGCCACTGCTGGGGAAGGGCTTCATTATTGCCTGGTCTGAATTCAGAGCCTCACTAGCACAGACTGTGCAACCAGCCCCAGCCCCCTTTTGGCCCAGGATCCCCTTCTCTCCCGGCAAATTATTCATGGACCAGGTGAGTGAGGTTTCCAAGAGGGAGAATGAGAGCAAAGAAAAAAAAAAATCCTGAATCCTGACCAAAAAAAAAAAAAATAGATAAAGTATAGGCTAGCCATTAAAAAGCAACCACCACCACACAACAGTTCAGGCCTGTGAGGCTGGACTTTATTGAAAAGTTCAAATATGAACCTTTAAAATGTTACAGAGTTGTATCATGCTGCTTGCATGTATGAGCCAACATCAAGTAATACTGCTGCCTCTAAGGTAACTAGGTGAGAAAACTTATCATCGACTACCATTCAGCTGACAATAGTGAGCAGACACACAAACACGGGCCTCCTCCACACAACACAATGCATACAACACTGGTTTGCAGAATAGAATTCCTGAGCTGAACTTTGATCTGAAAGCATCCAGTTCATTTGTAGGAAAAATGAACCAGGATGCCTGTGACAAGCAGCCGCCTTTGGCTTCACACAGACACCATCACAGGAGCTGCACACTCACTTCTGGAAAATTAGTGGTTTGCCCCTCCACAGGATGTTTCTTCACAGAAAAGTGACCTGATGGCCTGCCACCTAGGAACACACACAGCTGAGTACACCAACCTTCAAGGTGTTTACAAGAGATTTTTTTTTATTCAGTGCAATCTGGCTTTTCATGATTCTTGGCTTTGTTGTTGTTCTTGACTTGGCCTAAAAAATATGAATATTTGCTAAACACTTGTTATTGAGGTTTGATAAAACTTGAAGAAAGAATATTGCTGACAAGGCTGGAGTAACACTGATTTGACTAGATAGTTAGTGCAGGAAAAATGTTGTTTAGGCAGGTAAACACAGGAACACTGGACTGGAGAGCATCTAAGACAAGAAGATGGTAACTGAGCACTTTGGTTTTGCTTTTTTCCTCTGTCTTTGGTTTTTTGAGATAAAGTCTCACTCTCTAGATAAGCCTCAAACCTAGCATCGGTCTTCCTGCCTCAGTTTCCTGAGGGCCCATGTCAAGCTCAGAACAAGGTATTCTTCATACTGAGTTCAAATCAGAGACAGATTTGTCTGTGCTAACAAAAATGATAACTTGAAGTGTCCTATATGCTCTTACTTGTGTCTGGTGGTAATAGAAAGGTAACTGCATAGCTTTTAAATTACGGAGGGGTTGGGGAGATAGCTTGGTGGGAAAAGTGCTTGTTCCACAAGCCTGAGAACCTGAGTTTATACCCCTACAACCAAAGTAAAAATACTGGGTGGGGCATCATGTACCTATAAGCCCAGCATTGGTGAGAGGGAAGCTGGAGACAGACAGATCCTGGAGGCTCATTGGTCAGTCAGTCTAGCTGAAATGGCAAGCTCCATGTTCCGTGAAAGACCCTGCCTCAAAATTAAGATGATGAGTGTCTGAAGAAGACGTCCTGATGCTAGCCCTGATCTCCACACAAGACAGATCTGGCCAGCGCATAGCACACACATATAAGTGGCACGCTTACACCAAAAACAATTGTTAAAAAGTAACATAATGATTACAATGACATTTTCACACATCACCTACATCTTTTAAAGACTTCCAAAGGCATCACTGGCTGTGACGCTAGATTGTTAGTCATAAGCATAAGACAACTAGAGTGCTTCTAACTAACTAGAGAGCACGGATATCCTCAAAGCCATCATCTTCTTGCATATAAAACAAGAGATTTAGGCAAGGAAAACACAAGTATTTTGAAGAAATGAAGCAAACATCCTTTTGCCCTACTAAAGGGTACATATCTCAAGTCTGGCTTTCACTGGTATTTCCTCAGTAGAGTGACTATTTCGTTATACATCCTCCAGGGGGCGTCCAAACCCCAGAGAAAATCCAGATGTTCCCACTCAGGGAGGCGCTTGTGGTACACCAAGTTGGAGATCTGAGTCAGTAAGATGTTGACATCACTGGGGTCTGCCAGCGAGTCATGGTCTCCACTCCACAAAGCAGTGGGTACAGGCATGTCCTTTAAGTCATACAAGGGAGGGTAGCTCTATAAGGAAAAAAAAAAAGACTCACAGAAACCTTGGCAATTGTCATAATTTTTAAGAATATAGTAAATGCAATCTCCTTTGAATAATAAGTGTCTAGTAAGTCTGATCTGAAATTAAAACAAACAAACAAAGAGTTACACATTTTGAGAATCCTTTCATTATGTTTTTCAGGTAGTCTTTACAAGGAAAGAACTGTCGCTGCAGAGATGTTCCCCTCTGCCACATTGTAGGGATTATTTAATCCTCAGTGAGTACCAAGGTTATCCTCGGATGTGGATGCAAGACCCAACTGAGCAAGAAGGAGCTCTGCGCTCAGATCCTCCTACATCCTCCCTCTGAATATAAGAAAAGCCACACAAGTCCTCCATGGCTCAATTCTCTAAACTTAAAGTCAGAAACAACAAGGGTTACTTCAAGAATTAAGAAAACCAGAAATATTTTCATATTTCAGGGAACTCAGTGCTCAAAAGTGGAAATTTTATTTGCACAGGGAAGAAAGAGAAAGGGCTTAAGTCATGTAATGTGTCTGAGGTCTCATCTCCCGGAAGCTGGCAACAGCCCAGGGCGTCCTGGTTCTAAAGTGTATGCTTATGATCCTACCAAACCCCAGTGGCCCTTTATCTACAGCCAGAAAGGGTGGAGAGAGGAGACCTGCACCATTCCACTGACAGATCTAGAAATCTCCAAGTGGACTCAGGGAAAACACCTTGCTGAGCCAATTCTGCTGACAACACTTCCCCATCACCCACCCACTCCGCAGCTGAGCCCAACCGAGTGGAGTTCTAGAAGCCAAAAGCTCATTTTAATTAAAAATTTACCTGGTTGTAATGAAAATAATTCTTGGCACTGCTTCCCCAGTCAAAAGCTTGAAGCTTATTGTGTCTAGCAATCTAAAAACAAGAAATTTTGAAGAAAAAAAAGTTAGCAGACAATGAAGTTAGAGATAAGATCATAGATTGATAGAGTCAATCAGGTCCTCAAAAAACAAATCCAGGTTTATTCTTCACTTCCAAATTTTCTATACACACACACACACACACACACACACACACACACACACACACACGCAATTTTGGTGAGGGATTGAGACAAGGTTTCTCTGTGCAACAATCCTGTCCTGGAGCTCACTTTGTAGACCAGGCTGGCCTCTTTCTGACGGAATGGTTGAGAAAACAGCTATGACCAAAAGAGTTACCATGAGATGGACTTTATCTGTGTGGACTTTTCCACTAAAATTTGCTTCTTGGGCTTTTTCAAAGAGGTAGTGATTTTACTTAGAGGTGTATATATATACTGATGCTTCAGACTGTGATCAGTTACTGTATGTCCAACAGTGGTCCAGTAAGACTGTACCACGAAATGACATTATAACTATCATACTTTGTGTTCAGTATGTCCTATGGTATTCAAACAAAAATGCAATTGCTTAGTGAAATGCTACCAAAATGTAAACCTCTCCTTAAGAAATGCCTGACTGTACAAAAATACGGTTGTTTCCTATCTATCCTACTTATCTATGTGCATTATTTGTTTAGATTTTGTGAGCGTATACATGTGAACACGTATGTGTGTGTGTGTGTGACACACACTGGAATATATATGGAGACTAGAGGTTGATGTTTGACATACTGAGAAAAATATAGACAGACTTACAGTTGCTATGAATGCATTTACTTCTATCTCTAATTGCAAGTGAAAATTCCCCAGTGCAGCCTGGACTGACACAGTATGCAGACTTTAGTTTACTTCATGCATGTGTATAAAGCACCAGGGAGGTAGGAAACAGCTTGCAGCTCAGCCTGAATTTAGTGTGCTCAGCATCGCTTAGGAGTGCAAGCAACCTGCACTGTTTTTACAAAGTTAATCAAATGTACATCTTTTTTTAACAAAAAGCAGGAAGTTTCAAACAGTGGATGGTATCAGAATGATCTGAAGTAGTTATTAATATGCAGATCCTAGGAACACATTCAGAATTCCGGTTCTGGATAGATGTGGGATAAGCCTAGACATCTATTTCATTGGTCTCTTCAGTAGTGTGGCTAGTGCTGTACAGCTAGGTTGAGACAGGCCTCTTCCAAGAGGGATAAGTACCCAAGCTCTGGGCAGCAGTCTGGAGGGGACAGACAAGAACAGGTCTGGTTAGTGGGACCCGGTTGTAAGTTTGTCAGATTCGGCTTGGAGGCTGCTATGGTTATAACCTTGATTGTCAATTTGACTAAATTTGGAATTAACTAAGAAACCCCTCTAGGCATGTCTGTGTCTATGAGGATGCTTGCAGGAAGGCTCATCTGCGGAGGATGGAAGATCTAGCCTGCATGGGTGACATCCCATGGACTGGAGTAAATCAAAAGAAAAAGGGAGGAACTAGAGCTGAGCACCAGCTGAGGCCACCTGACCACAGAGCACAGCGGGAGAGAAGTAACAAGAAAACACTGGGAAATGGCTGTACAAAATAACTCCCGTACTGACAGAGATCACAGTGAGCAGGAGGGCAAAGGGCACAATGCCCTCTCTGCTGTGTCATGGATTTGGAAAATGCCGAAACCACAAGGTCAACTTGGCCAGAAAGCAATTCTATCTATGGCCCTCAACCTGCAGTCTTTGACCCTGGCCAGCTGCTTAAAGGGGCAGACGAGAGGGCCTGGAATCAGAACAGATGTTAGGGATACAGCCAGTGCAACTGCTCTCTCCCAAATCCAGTGCCCGGTGGGGGCCTAGGACACTGAGGACGAAGGGAGGCTCTATTGTGACGATGACCTAGCATGGACTCGGGGCAGCCACAGTTTCAACACGACCAAGGGACCCTGAAAGGCCAGGCCGAATGGTTACTTGTGAATTGCTGAAGCATGTGTCATACCACACACAAGCTGCTGGTGGCCACTAAGCTGCCAAGTAGCTCACTAACTGCCTTCAGTGTGCCTCAGCCAGCTGGCAGACATCTTTGGGAATGCATTGGATTTCTGAGGTGACAGAAATGGGGCCTTTTGAGAAATGTCCAAATAGAGAAGTAAAATATTCACACATGTCAGGGGCATGAGAACATATGAAGAAAACAAATGATCATAAACAGAAATATACTTGAGAGTAGCAAGGAGCTGAAAGAAAGGCATTAGGAATTCGAGTGCTACCCGAGGTCTAAAGCATCGTTTAAATGGCAAATGTATGCTGCAGTCATGGCATGGACAACTTGCATTCTGGGGACTCCTCTTCTAAGCCACGGCACATCACCTGCATTTAGCTTTCCTGACACTTCAATAACCTAAGAGGCATCTCCTTAAAGAGAAGCCTGTGAGAGAGCAGCTCAGGTCATGTCAGCCAGTGTCACAGGCCACACTTCTTCAGTTAGATCTCCGTGGCAAGACAGAGAGCGTTCTATGCCATTCCGAATGGACTTGCATACTTGGCTAGTAGAAGAAGAGGGTGGTGGACAGATTTTCTAAAAATACAGATCCTTGTGACTAAAAAGGACTGAACTACTGATACATATGACAGGGATAATCTCAAAATAATTACCTTGAGCAAAACAACCAGGCAAAACCAAACAAATACATTCTATTATACACATGAACTCTAGGAAAGGCAAAATAAAGTAACAGAAAGCAGACCAGTTGTTGTGGGGGAAGGATTTACCTAGGAACATGAGGGCACTTTTGGAGGTGGCAGGGATGTTTCCTATGATATTGAGGCAATGGCATTACAGGTTATGCCAAATGCATCAAGTTGTACAATGTAGCACTATGTCACTTACATCTCAATAAAAATGCAAAAATAAAAAGCCTAGGTACAGACTCTCCAGTGTGGGGATATTTTGTTTGTGCTCTAACAAAGCTTGCCCGGAGATCAGAGTGTGGAGCTAGTTAAGCACAGAGGCCAGGTGGTGGTGGTGGTGGCACACCTTTAATCCCAGCACTAGGGAGATGGGGCGGAGAGAGGAATATAAGGCTAAAAAGCATTCTGAATCAAAGCAGCCAGACACCACCTTCCTTCTTCCCTGAATTGCCCACACACACACACACACCTACCACCGGATTCCTCTTTCCATGACAGGGCTGACGATGCTTCAAAGAACACTGAGCATCCCAGACCTCTGTCTTCCTTTTTAGATTTCATCCATCAGATGCAACAGGAACAAGTGCTTGGTTTGCTCATGTTGTTTTTATTTTTAAAGTACAAATAAAATTATTTCAATATAAATAATTTCATTCAAAAATAGAAAAAATACCATAACCTTGATCACTGCCCAGCAGGAACAAGTAGGATTAATTAAAGAGTCAGAAATCAAATGTTACCCTTAAGGACACAGTGTTTCCGGTGCAAGTGCTGTCTGTGCTGTGCTTAGAAGCTAAGACACCTTTAGAGCATCTTGGTTTGAACCATAACCAGCAAAGTATTTCACATTCAGGATAAGATTAGCTGGAGAAGACCATTCTCAAGACTATGCTGTAAGACTTGGAAGTACATCCTCCCTTAATGTCAAGTGCAAAAGGGGAACCACGTTGTAAGGCCATTAGCAGGGAAAAAGCCAATCTCCTTCTACGTCAAATATTCTACTGTAACTTCTTCTTTTTGAAATGTTTCAGTGAGAGGCACAAAGCAAATGCAGAGACATTTCCTGCCTTAAATGTGTACTTACTGTCTGTTTGGGATTACTAGAATAATTTCATTTCCATTTTAAGATACTATTCTTTTTGACCTACATGTGAACTCTAAATGCTCTAGAACCGACACACATTGCTTATGTGATAAAATGATCAAAATTCTTCTTCTGCCTTAGTGACCCCCGTTACCATACATGATTGCTTTGGTTCTGGCTTATCCACTCATGTTCCAGAAACACTGTATTCATGGATGAGTGCTGACATGACAGCTTCTACCCCCGGAAAATCATATTGTATCAAATAAGAAATAAAGTAAGTCTGGTGCACAATAAAACATAGGGAGGAAAAGGGGGGTGCATAGGAAAGGGACATGGAAATCTGCCAGGAAAGCAAAGGGGAAAGAAGTGGGGAGAGAAGAAGGCAAACCTCAGGCCTGATCACTGCTGAGTGAGCCCATGTGCAACACAGAGTTCAGCATGGAAGATGACTAACGTGCCCCAACTCAGTGACAAGCGCCCAGGACTGCAGGAAGGAAACAGATCTGACCTGCTGTTTTCGTTTGGGAAAGGCATACAGAAGACTACTCTGGGGATCCATGGCTAACACAGTACCAGTTTTACTCAATATTGACTTTGCATGTGCCCAGCTGACCCCGACCCCCTGGCATGCTTACCTGGCTCCAGTGTAAGACGTTTTGCACCGAGGTTCCCGCAGGACAGTGTGATGTATACACATCCACTCTAGACTGAAAGATGAATATGATGAGTTACAAAATGAAAACAGTGTTAAGGTGATACCCATTAACACGTGTTCCTCTCCAAAGGATAAAATAATGCAAATCTATACACAGTTTTTCAGAATATTAATCTCTCAGACACCTGCAGAGTAGGGAAAAGCAAGCGTTAGGTAAATGCAACAAGGTGCATGCAGGCTGCAATCCCAGGTCATTTTTCTCTCCTTCCGCTTCCCTAAATTTCCAAACTTTGGAAATCTAAAGTCTTCCTTCAATCAACAGGAAAAAATGAAAATCCCACTTTTTAAGTGTCTCTACCACCTTCATTTGCAGAATATGGGGGAGGGCAGGCTCTGACTAGATAACTCAGACTTGAACTAAGATCCTCCTGCCCCAGGCTCCCCACCCAAGTTCTTGGGTTACAGGGATGCACCTGCATGCCTGCCTGCACTCCAGAGTTTTAAAACCTGTCTTCAGAATTCAACACCCTGAAGGATAAATACATTTAGAAACATAGGCATACTGTAAGCCAGAGATTTACACTTCATAACAAACATAAATACATATGCATAGACAAATATATGCTAATGCATGTAGTATATATCTCTGTGTATATGATGATCTGGGTTTAAACACATACAGCTTTTTTAATAGAACATACTTCTAGAATGAACGTTATATAAATATTATGACTTGTGATTGGCCCGTGCATTATTTGTTCCTATATAGGTGGTGTCGGAAGCTAGCAGGAGTGAGCTCAAAGGCAGCAATAGAGGTACCACTTGCTAAAGCTGATGACTGTGTTCTGAAATGAAAGACTCGAATGTCTGATGGGTCCAGGCCTACATCCCTCATACAAATAAGCACATCCAGAGCTAATAACTGACAGCTGAGATAAGTCTCAGTGTCAATGGACATACCGTATTTAAATTCTTCTCATTGAAGCCACATAAAAGAAAGAAGAGATTTGTGCAAAGCTCCTTCAGGACGACGTGAGTGCAAACATGAGTGCCCAGCCATTTCAGGATGGCACTCTGGGGTAAAAACTGTTTGTGTCCACACAAATCCTGCAAAATAGAAGGAAGCCCAAGAATGGGTCAGCATTTCAACCTGATGGACCATCTTCAACATCCCTTCAGAAATACGGACATACAAGGGTCTCCACAAGGGGCCTCCAGGACACAATGGCAATCAACTGACATTCCAAGCAGGAAACCTGTGAGTTATTCCTGGGCTAAATAAGATGTGCTTAGAGACATGTGCTTAAGTTCCCTAAATAAAAAGGCAGAGACAGAAATCTATGTTCCTTTATACCAGACCATTATAAAGGGAGATGATCATTTGTTGAAGGGCTTTTCCCAAACAGCTGTTGAGGATCTGACTAAGCATGTTTCCCTTAATCCACTATTGGCTACAGCCAGCCCCCTTGCATGCTGTTCACTATTTATTTGTTTCAAAGCAGGGTCTTGTTGGATAGGCCTGGCTGGCCTCGTAATTATCCCAGGCTAGCCTCAAACTCCTGAGAATCCTGCTGCCTCGGTCTCTCAAAGGCTTAGATTATAGGTGTGAGCCGCCATGACAACTATTGTTAATTTATTAAGAAATATGTTTATGGTGGTAAAACACTTGAAATTTCTCATTTGCACTTTTAACTGTTCAGTTCAGTGGCAAGCACGGTCACGCTTGTGTGGTTATCCCTATGATCCACTTCCAGAACCCTTGAATCTACACCCATTAAATAATTACTCTGAATCCAATAACCAGTTAATTACTTCCCACTTCCCCTGCCCCCAGCACCACAAAGGTTTTGTAAGTTTTAGTGGAATATAGCCACAGTATGAATTATCCCTGGCTTTGGTAGACAGGAATATTCAACAGAAACCACTTGGCCCACTTTTATAAAAGAAGTTTACCAATTCTTAGTCTACCTTGTCCCCAACCAATAGTCACTGGATCTGGGTTCAAGTACAGTCGGGACCATCACTACATTCTCAAGGCATATCTTCTTGTACTGTACAGCAGGAGACAGGTCCTCCTTACACGGAACTCAGATCTGTCCCTTTGCACTCTTGCTCAACCCACCCACGCTAGGACAAACAAGAATGGAAAACCCAAGTATCCACAAAGGAAATGTTATGGGTTGAGTTATGTCCCCTTAAAAGGCAAACATTGAAGTCTTAAGTGTCAGCATTTGAGAATGGCCTTGTTAGAGACTAGGTCTTTTCAGATGACTCAAATGAAACAGGGGTCAGGCCTTCTTGTGACATGATTAGTGTCCTTTTAAAGAAGAGGCATCTGGCCACAGAGATAGACATGGACACAGATAAAACATCAACTGATGATGAAGACAGAAACTAGGAAGATGCTTCTACAGCAAACTGGCCAAAGGCCACCAGCACACCAGCAGGAGGGACAAGACATGCAACGCATTTGCCTGTGGAATCTAGGAGGGCAGCAGAGGGCAGCTGTAAACACACATGCATGAAGCTGCACGTGCATGCAGCCTTCTCTGCCACTATACCTAGAAGACTGGGAAATATCAACAACCTTGACAAAACTGAATGTTCATGCTGAGCTCAGCACTCTATGCAACAACTATTTGTTCTTGTTCTGGCTTACCACTAATCCACAGAATGGTGAAACATAGCTTCTTTATTTCCTCCCATTAAGAAATGTCAGTTATTTGATCTGCAGTATAACTATCCCACTAATTTAAGTGCATACTTTTGTGTTCAGGTTTCTTCCAGGAAACTGGTCCATCCATAGATATACCTGTGACCTCTGTCTATCTTAGTTAGGATTTCTATTGTGATAAAATCCATCACAAAGCAACTAGGGGAAGACATGGTTCATTTCAGCTTACAGTCCATAATCACAGTCCATTATATAAGGAAGTCAGGGTAGGAATTGGCACTGGCCAGGAGCCTGGAGGCAGGAACTGATGCAGAAGTCATGACAGAGCGTCATTTACTGGCTTGTTCCCTCATGGCTTGCTCAGTCTGCTTTCTTCTAGCGTCCAGGACCTCCTGTCTGGGGATGATACAACCTACAATGGGCTGTTCTCTCCTGCATCAATCACTAATTAAGAAAATGCCCCCCATAGCTTGCCTACATGCCAGTGGGGCAAGGGAAATCTCTCAGTTGGAGTTTACTCTTCCCAAATGACTGCAGCCTGTACATAAAAACTAGGCAGCACATTGTGAAGTCAATCTTCTGAAAACAGACATCAGGTCTGAATGATCTTTGCCAGAACAGCCACACAAGAAGTAGCTAAAAAGGACCAGGAAGTAAATTCCTCATGGAGAAAAGGTTGTGTGATATGGAAAGCTAGTCCACTCGCAGCTCTTGCCTTAGTGTCTACATAATACTCGTTGTGACAACTGCACATATTTTTGAAGCTCTCTATTTAGCAGATGATGTACCCACAGGCCCACATCACAGTCCACCATTCCTTTGGGCTGATGAAGGATACCTTGTCCCCAACCAATAGTGTCTCAGAACCACTGACCCAACTACTGCTGTGGCAAACTCTACAGAAAACCACATCCATGCATGTGACATATACAGATAAAGGGAAATTTGTCTTAAATATTTGTAGGCATGATCATATTGACTTTGATAGGTTTGTAAATTGCATTTTTCTATTATTTCAAAGGATTAGAGGGGAACACTTTACTTCCACAAAAGCAACATGTATTTTTCACAGCAGCTTAATTCAACAGTTTAGGAATATTTGTTCATTTGGCTATTGTTCATTTGATTTTGTTTCTGCCTTTCCCAGTGTGTGCCAGAAAGTACTCAAGTCTAAACCGTTATTCCCAGATGCCATGCCCATAGTCTTCATCAGAAATCATAGAGAATGTTCTATGAAAACACAGAGCCCTGATCTCCACTCCGATTTTACAAAACAACACTTCTACAGGGGGATGGAGGAAGGTGTGGCATTTTTAGATTTACAAAACTAACTCATAAACTCTAAGGAACAAGCTAGATTTATAACATGCATTCCTACAGCAGCAAGCACACTCTCCTGCATCCAGTCTAGAGCTCCTCCACCAGCCTGGATGTCTACCACAGTAGTCAACTAACTAATAGCAGGTTTTCATAATCAAAAACTTCCTATGCAGCAGTTAATAAGGAAATCGATTAACAGGTTAGCTCTCCATGGGAGAAATACACAATCTGCAGAACAATCTAAGAGTTCGATACCATCTGTATTTCTCTTGGTGCATCTCTATGTGCATAAATTCATATCTGGGGGCTGTAGGAAAAGACCACCAAACTGAGTAATTCTAAAGAAGATATTAGGGAGGAGGCCTAGTGTTCAAGAAGTACTGGTAATTTCTGAAGTATTAGTAATGCAAATCAATACTTCTATTAACGAAGACAAAACAAAATGTTATCAGCATGTTTGCTGATATACAATGAATTCCTACCACAAGAGTCTGACTAACTGTAGCTCTTTGTAACCCAAAACTTACTGTACAGCAGTTACAAAGACAATGAAGTGTAACATTACAATCCTTCTACCTCATTCAGGGTTTCATTAAGGGCACGGTACGTTTTCCTGTAAAAGATTGTAAATAACCTGAGAGAAAAGAGGGAGTGTTCTGTGGTATTTTGTTCATGTTCTAACAAATAAAGCTTGCTTGGAGTCAGAGGGTGGAGCTAGCCAGTAGTTAATCATAGAGGCCAGGATCTCTTTCGGATGGAGAAACAGAAGAGGTAAATAGCAACTGTGGCTTCTCTGCTTCCTCGCTGATCTTTCAAGTTTCTCCCCTGATATCTAACTCCTGGTTTTTATTGTTAAGATTAATTAGATTTATGCCTCAAAAGAGAGACAGAGAGTTATGTTACACCTACCTCTAAGTAATGAGTCACTTAATAGCAGAGGTTAGTTCTAAGACTCAAGTTCTCAAGTAACATTAGCCTTGTGCATCCATCACATTGTATCCTTACACAAATCTAGATCTAGATTTCATCACAGAGGGAAATCAGGGTAGGAACCACAGAGATTCTTGCTGGTTCACAGACTAACACTTAGGACCACTTGCACAGGGATGATGTTGCCCACAGTGGGCTGAGACTTCCTGTATTAATAGTCAAGACAATCACCCACAGACATGCCACAGGCCAATGTGATTTAGGACTTTTTTTTCTCAGATGACTCTAGGTTGTGTCAAGTTGGCAGTTAAAGCCAACTCTGACATAAATACTATGCATAACTATTTGTCCTACAGTTTTATATAACTCTTGTGACCATAGATTTTTATATGCTAACACGACCACAGATATGTGAATTATATGTTGGCTACCACTAGTTGATAGGAAGTTTTCAGTTTCACTGTAATCTGTTGGGACCAAAATTCAATGTGTTATTCCTCATTGTCAAAACCCCATTACAGTCAGGCAGTGGTAGTGTACCTTTAATCCCAGCACTCAAGAGGCAGAGGCAGGCAGACCTCTGTAAGTTTGAGGCCAGCCTGGTCTACAAAGCGAGTTCCAGGACAGACTCTAAAGCTACATAGTAAAACCCTGTCTCAAAAAAACAAAAACAAAAAAAGAAACATTTCAGGGCTGGAAATATGGCTTAGCCATAAAGTTAAACTCACAACCAAATCATCAAAAACCCATACACGGCATATGACTATATATAATGCTATATTGAATGTGAGTGTGTGTTTATAAAACATATAATACAGGAATAAAGGACGTCTATTCTTAATGAGCTTAAACTCCACCTCATGAGTGCTATTGCCCCCTGGAACGAGTGTTTAGCCCTAGAGCTTGGGGGCCAAATAATTCCTTAGATCATTTTGAGCATGGCTAGGGACAGGCACATAGAAATGGCATACCTCTTGTTTCCTATCTCCTGTCTACTCCTGTCTACCTAATTGCCCTGTAGATGAAACGCAACTCTATGAAGGCTTAAGCTACTTTTTCAAAACCTTCCTTGTACCTTCTTTGTATGGTAGGTAGGGACCTGAACTAACATGTTAACTATGAATACGTGCAGTTACGTGTCTAGATAATAATATGGTTCCCTGGGTGCCTCTGCAGGAGGAGGTGTGAAGGCAAGAACACCCACTGCTCAGTAATAACCATCTACAGAGGACACTGCTGAGTCTCAAGTGACCAGTTTTTTAGCTCAGAAGAGAATGTGAGGAGAAGGGAGATGGCTGTGACCCAAGTACCTCAATAATAACGTCTGGCAACTTAGAAATCTTCACCAAAGGGCTCGAGGCAAAATTGAGAAACACCACAGGGGCCAAGGCAAAAAACATTTTAATCTTCTTTGCCAGCTCAGGTATCTGTGAAAATGCTATAAAACCTGTGGGGCAAAAGAAAGAATTAGATCTTCTAGTACTTCTTCAAAAAAACCAAAAAATCAAAAGCAGAGGGGTCATGCATTATGCCCTACAGAGGAAGCCCAGAGCCACACAAGTTGAAGAGCTGAACAAGGCTCTTAAGACATTCTGGCTCAGAAACACGGAATTTAGGTCCAGATTTCAGCCTACAATATGCATGGAAAGAGGTCCAGGGTCGGAGAGCCAAGAAGTCTTCCCTGTTCCCAAAGCACTGTGAATCTCTACAGCTCCACACTTCTACCTCCCTTCCCATCCCTAATTTGCAGACCATCCACACAGAATGAACACCAGTAACTGGAAAGCCACACTCAGACGTCCCTCACTGTAAAATAGCACTTACATTTCTCTCAGATCTCCCCATGCTACTTGTCTCTAGGACACTTTAGAAACAACGGACTTTAGACAAGTCACCTAGTCATAAAAGAAGTAATGGAAATGAAGAACATGCAGCTCCATTTTCTGGAGGGCGAGGCAATGTAACATGCTAATACCCTGAAAATCACTTTGCTAATCTCTTTGCAGAGTGTACTCCACGTTGATCATGCGCCATGAACCCAAAGGTGTTAGTGAACACCAAATGGCAGAATAGCTTTAAAAATCTGTCGTCTTGTAGCTAGTTATGTCTCCTTTAACTTTATTTCTTTAATTACTGATTTATTTATTTTAGGTGGTACTAGGGTTAGATCCTGGGGTTCAAACCTCTTAGGCAAGCACTCCACACTGAGCTGCACCCTAGCCCGGCACTGAAGATTTAAAGTATATTTTCTTACTGACCCTTTTAGGTTTCTGACAGAAAATGTCACCCTCTCACCTCCCTATGTTGGTTACATTAGAAAACACAACAAATGTAGCTTATATCAGTTCTTTCGATTTTAAGATACTTAACGACTTATACTAAATTCTGAATTTCTGTAGATTTCTACTGAGAATTTCTTGCTATGTTCATGATTTCTGCTTGGCATTAAAAAAACTGTATTTGAAGTAACATCATTTTTGTGTAGCATTACTTCACTTCAAAGACATGTTGCCTTTTCCTTCTTTATTATATACATACCTATAGTGGTGCCTTGAGAATGACCCAGATAATACACTTGTTCTTGACCAGTTTTATTCACAATGTAGTTAATGGAAGCAGGTAGGTCATATTTTGCCATTTCATCAAAACTATAATCCAAAAGACAAAGGACTCTTCAACTGAAACAGCACACAAAAGTAGAACTGCACACAGATACTTGGCATGCGGTGTGTTAGCACACACTGAACACGGCTGGAAAAGTATGCACAAGTTCAGAACACTGACTATGTCTAGGACCAAGGAAGTTCCCCTGCGTGCCCTTCTAGTTGGACCTCCTGAAGGTACCACCTCTAATTTTTCACATTTATAAATTAGCCTGATTCAGTTTGCATGTCTCCTGTAAATGGGATCATATAACATATCATCTTCCATAACTGGCTCCCTCCATGTTGGTACATGACTACAGCTCATGTTATTATGTTACTACACCACACTTGGTTCATTGAATTTACTGCTGGCGTGTATTTGAGCACCCGTTATTATAAACAGTGTTACAATAAACATTTTCTAATACATGCCTTTTGGTAAAAGTTCTCACTCTAGTGATTCATGGCCAGGGTGGCTCCAGTTTTATAAAAGGAAGCATCTACAGGGCCAGCCTTCTATAATACCTGGTACACTAAGCTGCAGTCTTTAACCAGGAAGGTGTGTGTGTATGTGTGTGTGAGTGTGGGGGGGAGGAGGAGAGGGGAGGGGGAGGAGGAAAAAGGGGAGGAAGAGGACAAGGAGGAAGAGGAAAATGACAATCCAGTTGTTAGAAAGCACTGGGACTATGCCAGGCTCTGTGGACGCTCCTTCCCTGAATCCTTTACTTTAGGCCCAGTGAGTTTGGGGTGGGACTTTAACAACCCCATTTTATAGATAAGGAAACAGACACAGGCATTTATAGCTGTGCCAAGTGTCATACAACAATTGATTGGTAGAGTCAAGAGTAAGAAAGAGAGAGAGAGAGAGAGAGAGAGAGAGAGAGAGAGAGAGAGAGAGAGAGAGCAGGAAAATGAACATGTGAGTACATGTGTTATGCTGGGGGTGAGGGGTGAAGGTGCCTGATATTTAACCTAGCAACTTCTCCCTATTGCCAGGAATATTCAGAATAACTTAAGAATCCCTAGCTGAATCTAATCACTTATGCAATTATTTATTCAAATTTATTTATTCACATTGGTTATTAAATTTCTGACAAGTTTCACAACTGTTCAAAGGACATTGGCTTCCTTATACACTACCTCCCAGCTAGATTCCCATGTGTCTATCTGAAGGATGCTAAAGACACAAAGCCCAGTCATAACCGACTGTGATGTACCTGAAGGCCCAGAATTCATCCTGAGAAACAGAGAGAGTCGTATGTCTCCGAGACCAGGTGTTTCCTCTGCTGTTCCCCAGCCATACATCAAAACCAGCATTGGCCAGAATGAAGCCCAGGCTGCTGTTGTCAAGGTTCGTGACCCAGTTACTAGAATCTGCCAGAAAGCCATGCTGAAGATAGACAACTGGTCTGGGACCTGAAAAACATTGATGTTTAGAAGGTGATATATCCAATCTCCTGGGCAAACTTGTTGCCTTGCTAGACAGTCAACAGTTAAGAGAAACCAAAGCAAATAGAGCAACAGAAACAGATTAACAAGCTGGGGGGACATGTTTCCTTTAAACAGTGTTGACAAAGATGCAGCAAAACTACACTTTTTTGCATTTCTGGTAACAAACCATTGACTTAAGCATCAAAACAAAATTTAATAGATATGGGTGATCTTGCAAAATGTTTCTATAATGTGCTCACAATGATCCCAAGCAAAATAAACTGGGAGGAAAAATGTCACACACAAGATGGTTCTATACTCCCGCAACAAAGGCTGAACGCTAAACAGAGATAATGGCAACTGTTGGCCAAGATGAAGAGCAAGAGGACGGCAGAAACACACATGAGTGCTTAGGGGAGCTTTGTGCATCATTTCTAACATTTGAACAGAACTAGAGATGTTGAGTGACAGTGACATGCCAATGTAAACAGCGGAGGGTGTTCATAAAAGATGAGGCTATGCTTGTACAGGACCAGGAGTGTGGGAAATCTGTACCTACTGATGTTTATAGTAGATTTATTCATTGCCAAAATTTGGAAGTGTTGGTTGCTCAACCCTGCATCTGCTTGATTTTGAAGTGACCCTAAATCTGTTATTTAAAAAAGCAAAGTCTAATGAAAACAAAGACAATGTAGAATAAAATCTTACAGAAGAAGAAGACATGAATTTGAGATGGGAACCTGAAGGGGAACGCAGAGGAACTGTGGGGTAGGGGAAGGGTTGATATGATAAACATGTATGTGCTCATGTATTAAATCCTCAAAAAAAAAGTTAAACAGAAAAAATGCACACATGGATTCAAAAAGTGTCTGTGAATTTATCTTCTATTCACCTCTTCTTGAGGCAAACTACAAGATGAACAAAGACTTGGAAGTACAAACTCATCGCCTCCAGCCCAGACCTCGAGAGATGTACAGGGCCAAGATTATGCAGGCACTATCAAGCAAACCTTTATTCAGCATCAAGTCTGTGACAGGACCTTCTCAGCACTGGTGACACAGCAAGGAATAAAAGCAAAAGAAAACACCGCCTTGGAGAAAGATGAAAGAGAAAATGGGCCAACCCCGGGTCCCTTAGCTTCTCTGCTTTTTAGTGGCATTCTAAGGCTCGTCAGCAAGACTGCACTTACTGCAAAGTCTCTGCTTCCACTGTGCTAGGCGAGCCGTCCCCGCCTTCACAGAAGATTTCAGCTCACCTTGGCAGATATGAAAAATAATCAGTAAAAGTTTGAAATTACAAAATGGTGTGACAAAAATTACTGAAATTCCTGCCTCTGGGAGCTACTAAACAACAACAACAACAACAAAAAGCCTAAAGTTTCATTTTTCTAGCCAAGGATAGGCAAAATGACTTCATCCTGTTTAGTCACCTAAACAGCTACCACCAAGCACGCTGGGAACAGAAGCCTCACGGCTGTATACTGTACTGCTGCCTGCTTGATGAGGTGAATCTCGGGTGAAGCCAGGTTTGACATGGACTGTGGTTTATAAGAGGAAGACTTGGTGTGTGGGGAAGTCCTGCCTCCTAAGACACAAGTGTGCATGGAAAGCTACTTCGCTCCAGAAAGTCTTGGGGAACCAGCTGAGATCAAATGAAGAAATAAAACTAAGGGCAAGGAGGAAGGAGGCCAAAGTTGAGTGTGTCAGCAGGACAAAGAACTCAGTTTTCACCAGACATAAAGACTCACTGGATTGATTCCACTTCATAGCTGGCATCCAGAGCCAGTAAGTGATGTTAGACTGCCAGGTTGAGGGGGTCCTTGCAGTTCCTAGGGAAGGTTAAGATCCTAGCACAGGAATTAGCTTAAATGACAGAATTCTTTACCCGGCCCAGGATTTGTCAGGCTCCTCTGCAGCCTGACATCTTTAAGTTCCTTGCTAGTTTGGGAAGAGTGTGCATAGCCCACAAAAGGATTGTGTATCCTTCTGCACAGCAGATTCTAAGCAAAACAGTAAGAGGGATCATGAATGTGGTATGTACCCATTTCCATGTTTCTATACAAGGGGGTACAAAGCTGGAGCTTGCCCCTCGGCTTGTATCATCTGGAATTGGCTACATAACCCACCCAGTTCACCGGAGCTCAGCACCCAAACAAACGGGACCTCTACTCCAGACAAACTCAATGTGTGAGGGTTGCACAACCATCACTGAGATAGACTTCAGCCTAGGAGCTTTCTGAACAAGTTCTACCCACATAATAACCCAAACAAACTTCTATAGTCTGGATGGCTTATCAATGTTATATTCTTCAAAACAGCTACCAATTATGTTAGAGGAATCATGTCACATATGGCCTGCCTTTTCATATCCGTGTGAAAGATGAGGTGACCTACATGAGGAGAAAGCAACTGGCCCTAGAACATTCAGCCAGCTGTGTGCCAACACTGACCGAGGTCCGGGTCTATTTCACCTCAAAGAGGCATGCACACAAATGTTAGTTCTGTCTCCAGCCAGTTCATGACAAGCCAAGCAGCCTATGCCAAAGCACACTATGTGATGAAACAACCCAGAGTGACTATGAGACAGACACTTCACTGCTCTGGCCCTGATCTAGAGAATGAGGAACTCCATGCACAGAGCCTGGCCTAGAAGGCCTTCCTTGTGAAGCTCCCATGGCTATTTTTCATCAGGCCACCAGCGTTGTATTCAAACCTGCTCAAAGGGATTTATGGCCAGCCACTTGATTCAGCAAGCTGAGCCAGGGGTGAATGAGTTGCCTAGAATGCACAGGAGAAGCCATAAAACATAGACACCCCCAACAAGCTTCCAAGGGGAATCCCTAGGGCCTCCTTCTCAGTAATTGGTAAGAATGGACTGGGGGTTGATAGCTTTCTGGTACAGGAAAGACTAGCATTTGTGAAGCTCCAGACTTGCTCTTCAGTTCCAGCAAATTAAAAACAACAATTTGGTTTTCAGTTATTCACAATAAGGGCTCCTGGGTGAATATTCATAGTCTAACTCTAGTTTGAGCATTTGGCTCCAAAAAAGTAAAATAATCCAAATACTATATAGATTTCTGTCCCTTTCTGTTGTAGTGACAAAACACCTAAGAATGGCTAGTTTGTAAAAAACAGAGATTCACAATTCCAATTAAAGGTTCATAAGTCTGAGTCTGTCGTTTTTCTTCGGTGTCCCATGGTAGAAAGTGGCAGAGTACAAAGGCACATGCCAAAGGAAGGAGTGAGGTCTGGCCCATCTGGAGGAAGAAACAGGGAGTGGGACTTAGGTCCTACTTACAGAGCCCAGGAGACTAAACAACAGAATCCAGTGTTCAAACCACCAGAGACTTTTCCGACGTTATCACTGTAACCCCAAGCACTAACAAAGAGGGCTGTATGGGGTGGGAACTCAGACACAGGTATAGGAAGCTTGTCTCTATGTTGTCCCCGCTGTCACCATGGGAAACTTATCTAGCCCCCAAAACCTTGTTTCCCTCATTTGTGAAACAGGCTAACCAGAGTCCTAACTGATAATTCATCTGTGACATGGGGCACTTGGCTTGTCCACAGGAAGCAATCAGAACGTTATGTGGCCTGCGTCAGTGTCCAGGACATTGTACTCGCATTTCAAAGTCTCTCTGAAGGAAAGGGGGTGACCTACACTGCCTGAGTGAGCACAAGATCCTGCATCACCAGGTCCCGTCTCTAACACAGTGCTGTTCTCCACACCCCTGGTGACAGTCACTGTGATTGTTAAGCAACAAGAAGGCAGCAATGTGTCACATATGATTCACGGCAGTGCTAGCAGCAGCTGAAGCTGAATCTGGCACAGGGTACACACAGTATAATGCAGCAAAGGCATGAAACTTTCCTGGTATTCCAAGGTGCTGACTCCTACCCACCCATACACAACACGAACCACCCTGTCCACACTGTACACACTGCTCCCCCAGTAACCACTTAGTACATAGCTGTCCCAATTGCAGATATACTGTTATGGTCTAGCAGTAGTTATGTTTAAGACTTCCTTAATAATAGCCCATAGCATAAACTAACAATGCTGGCAATGTTATTATAACACACTGTTATCATTGTTTTTTAATTATCTTGCTAATTTTCTACCATCTCTAGCTTATTGACCAAGTTTTGTCATGGGTATGGTAGTATAGAGGAAACATAGTATCTATGGAATTCGGGAGTATCCACTAGGGACACTGAAACACATCACTCCCAGATAAATGGAGACCAGGAGCTCTCTAGGTACAGGCACAGACAGTGATATAGGCATTGCAAATGCACACTATAGAACACTGTATTCAGAGCTCACTGCATAGTCAGAATGGTGAGACACCCTTTCTATCATTCTTCTTACTTTTGCAAACTAAAGTTTGAAGAGAAGGCCATGCCCCCAGGTCACCCAATTGTAAACAAAATCCATATCTTACAACATCAATGCACCTATCGTCCCTGTGTTGAACTGCCTTTTTGTCTTCCTTTACCTTTCCGGACATCAGAGAAGCTACACACAGCCGCAACATGAATTCACAGAAGAGAAATGTTGAGAAATGATTTAACTCAGAAGGGAAGTAGAGAGGCCCACAGAGGAAGTTTCAGTCAGGGGAACATACACAGGTAACACTTGCACCTGACTTCCAGATGGTTCTACACATCTTAAGCATCCTCTGCCCAGGGTAAAAATAAATTTAGACATGTTTCTGGAAACTTCCTTCTCTCCTTGAAGTTTAAGATACACTCCCTGTCACAGAAGACTGGATACTGAGAAAGCAGGTATTGGAAATCATGATGGACATCATTAGAAAGATAAAAGAGAAGGTTCAGTTTCAATCTGTGCAGTTATATGCCTTGTTGTTCAGTAGGAGGTATCTCACTGTGCAGTGTAAGGTGCCTCACTGTAAGGGCAAGATACCTCAAAGGCCTTACAGCAATGATGGGGTAAGTATTATTTTTCTCATATAACACATGAAG